AACTGATGCATAGCAACCAGCAGTAGTCAACTGATGCATAGAAACCAGCAGTGGTCAACTGATGCATAGCAACCAGCAGTGGTCAACTGATGCATAGCAACCAGTAGTGGTCAACTCATGCATAGAAACCAGCAGTGGTCAACTCATGCATAGCAACCAGCAGTAGTCAACTCATGCATAGAAACCAGCAGTGGTCAACTGATGCATAGCAACCAGCAGTAGTCAACTGATGCATAGAAACCAGCAGTGGTCAACTGATGCATAGCAACCAGCAGTGGTCAACTCATGCCTAGCAACGAGTATGGGTAACCCTGGTGTAGGTGGGTGTATGGGTGGATCACTTGCATGGCAACCCTTGGGCTGGCAACGTTTGCACACCGCTTGCAGAGCGTAGTATTTGTATAATCTATTTATAGACTCTCATTTATATGCTCTCGTGACGGTTAGGTGAGCCGATTGTCTCGTGCTGCGCGTAGATTGCTTTCCATTAATTGTGTACTGTGATGTCCTCGTGTGTGTTGGCTGATGTCTGCTTGCGTGTGCGTATCGGTATCCTATCGCATATCCTTGCGTATGGGTCGGTGTGAAGTGTATGTCTTGTGATAGTCTATTCACAGTGTAGTCCGTAAGGCGCATAGCATAATGTAGCGCCCTTGTGAAGTTGAAAATCTTCGCATCACTGGTCTACGCCTGCGAAGCAGCACACAGTCCAACAACCAATGAGAACGCTCAGGAGCTACTCCAAGAGTTACAACTATTTTTAGACTGGACAAGCACGGCACATGTGGTACCTACCTACGATGAGTTCCCCACAGTCGATAGCTGCGCATAGGTGTGCGGTAGTAATTGGTCGACGTGGAAGCGCGTCTCCCTCGGTCGGATTGGTGAGATAAAAACGTTGGCCACGAACATAAATACACATACAACCACTCACGGAGGTCTGTTGTAGTAGTTACGCAGACGGTAAGGTGAGGGTTATATCGTGCACAAATGAAATGGTAACAGCCGATAGTGTAGGTGGAGCTAGTGTAGGTAGAGCTAATACACATCCTCTGAGCTGTCCATCCGACACTGGAGGTTTGCGTATGAAGAGGTGACGGTGTGGTTGCGTTGTTGCGTGTGGCTCGATGCAGTTAAGTGTGTAGCGGTAGGTAAATCCAACAGCTGCTGTAGGTAGCTATACGTAGTATGTGATTACAAGAGTATGAGAAGCGAAAACGCTTACCCGGTCCTGCCGTAAGAGGTGGTGAGAAGAGAGTTACCGATGTCTGTTGTAGTGCAGCTCGGGGCTCGATCACACCCGTACAGAGGATGAAGGAGCCTTTCATCCAGCTCAAATGCTTGCTATTAATAGCCCAGCATTACGATATAAATAACCCAGCATTATGCCATAAATATATCCGAACCGGGTTGAAAGTAGAACAATATTCCTGTTCAGATCGGGGTTCTACCGGGTCTGTATATAGACAGTCTTCCCCTCCAGATCCAGGCTCCTCTGTGAAAAGGAGACAGCGATGTGATCAACTGAGAGGCAGACCAATTTAACACCACGAAAATACTTCTTGCCCAGCCGAACTTACAATAGTGATCTATTCTGGGATCCACAGCTACAAACACAGCATATGCTACATACAACACCAGACATCACATGGAGCATATGGTACGCAATATAGTAGATATAAAGCAAGGTATATCTTACATCCTGAACTAGACTGGACATATCGCGTAGGGCATACGCAGCGTACGTGCCACCTACCACGGTGTCATCTCCAGATATATTTGATTCGGAACCAGACTCGCGCATTACAAACACGACGGTGCCGGGCTCCAGTCCGTTCAGGTTACAGTAGGCGGTCATCACCTTCTCCAGGCGTGTGTTGGGCGAGACATTAAAGCGAACAAACTCACCCCTCTGTGATGCGGATGGGATGGGATGGGATGGGAAGGTGTCAAGATTACGCAGGTAAACGGTGAACAGACACCAGGAAGAGGTAGTTGTAAGCGACGCTAAAGCGAACAAACTCACTCATTTGTGATGCGAATGGGATGGGATGGGATGGGAAGGTGTCAAGACTACGCAGGTGAACGGTGAACAGAAACCAGGAAGAGGTAGTTGTAAGAGACGTTAAAGCGAACAAACTCACTCCTCTGCGATGCGGATGGGAAGGGAAGGTGTCAAGACTACGCAGGTGAACGGTGAACAGAAACAAGGAAGAGGTTGTTGTAGTGTAATGGGAAACATCCGTCGCGGGAGGGAAGAGGTGATGGAGTGTATGCATAAAGGCCAGGAGCCCGAAACGAGGTATATGTATGTGCCAGGTAAAGTTATATTGAACGGGATGAGATGGGCGGGGATGTGATGATATAACCCTTCCATGGGGTAGGCCGGGGGACATATTGACGATACTAAGATTCCAATACAATCGCGTGATCTACTGAAATGAGAAGAGAGGGCTTCCGGTGGGGTGACAGACTGTGTGCTCGGTACTATCAGACAGCACATGCACACAGATGTTGTAATTAAACAGGCCTAAACCCTAAAGCCTTGCGGTGACGAACGGCGTGCTCGTTACCATCAGACACTGCATGCACACGGCGGTTGTGGTTGAACAGACCTAAACCGTATACCCTAAAACCCTAGGGTGACGGACTGCGTGCTCGTTGCTATCAGACAGCACATGCACACGGTTGTTGCAGTTGAATGGGTCCGCGACGGTGCCAGATAGCCCGTAAGCAGCCATCACACAGCACGTATGCTAAAAGAACAACTCTAAAACCCTAGAACTTAGACATGAGTTTCAATAAATGAACCCTATTGGCTCGTGTATTGATAGGAACGATGATGCCCTGTTTCGGCAATATAAGAACACCTTGTTCGAAACCCTGAACTGGGGGGTTCGATGTAAAAGACTTAGATACCTACCACATGATAATACACCATCATAACCATACCTAGTAAATAACCATGAACTAGTCAACCAATACCAATAGAAATAGGACAATGCAAAGACACTCCATAGAACACTCACTACCGCAACTCACAAGCAACCATGAACTAGTCAACCAATTCCAATAGAAATAGGACGATGCAATGACACTCCATAAAACACTCACTACCGCAACTCACAAACCATGAACTAGTCAACCAATACCAACTAAAAATAGAACAACGGCCATGCTACGTCCCTCCATGAAACACTCACTCCCATACCTCGTTCGACACCTTGAACTCGAGCTTCGGCGGTTTGGTCGTCGATACAATGCCGTTGGCTGCGGATTGTTTCGGGCCTAATTGTTGGTCGTAGATGGCTTTCATCGTAGCGTTATCCTGTGCGTTCAGGTTGTTGCCCTCTAACGCTTGTGTGCCACTGGGGTCCAACCCCGAGTTAGTGTCTGGCACGACATTCGGTCCGTGTGCGACGTCGGATTGTCGTACGTCATTGTATTGCTGTGATTGCTGTGATACCTTGGGGCCACGTAGGAACTTCTTGGGGCGGCCCCGGTCCGGTTTGCTCTTCGCGTCTTGCCCCAGAAGCTTATTCAAGGGCTCATCCTCACTGTTGTCCTGGTCTGCACCTCTATCACGCCTTTTCGGGCCTTTTTTGTCCACCACGCTGGCATGTGGTCTCACCTCTACATCCGGCACAAGCACATGGTTCCTCTGTGTTCCCGTCACACCTCCAGACGCATCCGGGATCGAACTGGCCCCAGCCACTTCCGTAAACGGTGTCCACAGAGACAGGGGCGGGTGCTCACTCCAGACTTGGGTGTACTGTGCTAACGCACGCTGTACGCGTGCGTCCCTGTCCGCCTCATCCACATCACCGACATCAGCGGTCGAGTAGTGAACGTACTCGCCAAACACATCTGCGCAGAAGTCCACGTACAGGCGCGTATTCAGGATTGCGAACTGCCAGGCTTTGTCCACGCGACTCGGAAAGCTGAGCAACGACAAGTCTCCCCCTTTCTCTCCATACACAGCCCTACATACCAGGCCTCTGAGTGCGTGAATGTGAGCTTTTAGTATGTCGTCGGTATATTTATGAGCGCATCTACAATCCGGAGCAAGGAATACACACCCGCCGTTAGAAAAGAAAACACGTAAGCTAGGACAGCGCAACAGACACACACAGAGACATATATCTACTACCACCAGCACAAACTGATACACAGACTATGATATGCACAAAGACATATGTTCACCACCAGCGACATACAACGAAAGGTCTAACCATGCACTCACACATTGGGCTATGACTTACCTATCACACACAGGTACGTCTGAGCGCAGCACAAGCACACTTGCAACGTCACCTCGGCAATTGTTGAACTCTAAAGAACATATGTGCTACCGACAAACAAGGAAAGCCCTCCACCAACACAAGAAGGTAAACGAAGGGATTCACCACTCCACATATCCACATAGCAGCACATACACTCCATTACACTCCAACCATTCGCAACACACCCACACAGATACACGCACCAACCCCCCCCCTCCCCAACACACACACACACACCGCAGCCTTCATTATCAAACTCATGGGACTACATACACGTACCAACCCCCCCCCCCCCCACCACACACATGGTAGTTCCAACAGTATTCACGTACACCACAGCCTTCTCAATCTAACGCATGGGACTTCATACACACACACCGACATACCGATACATCTCAAACGCCAGACTGCGACATTCGTGCGAAGACAACCCCGTCGTCGCCGCAAGCACGCGGGTCACCTCCATGAACAGATCCGCGTGTCGGTAGTACGCCTTCTCACCCACCTGCACGCGGAATCGGCGCGTCACCAGCGCTCCTTGGTTGAGTTGTGTGGTATATGAAACGGCCAGCGGCTGCTGGGACGGGGACGGTGAAGAGAGCGAGGACTGCGCCGTGTCCGACAAACTGATGTACCTGTGCGCCGGTGCTGTGGGCGAGGCCATGGCTTCCGCTCGCTCGACTGGTTTGCGGTGCTTGGTGTTGGATTTTCTTTGGGTGGGTTCTGGGTTGCTTTTGCTGTGTGTGACTGGGTTGTGGGACTTAGTGTCGCTTTTTCTGTGGGTTGGTTCTGGGTTGCTTTTAATGTGTGCGACTTGTTTCGGTTGTGCCGGTTTTCCCCCTGTACCACCCATCACAGGCAAATGGGGCGAGGGCCAGGGCGAGGGATCAGATTGCAAAGAGTGAGTACAAGTCTTCCGGTTATCTTATGTCTGGCCTATCTGACGCATATCCTGTATGGGCCACACTCTAACTCAGATAGGACTGTACTCTCATATACCCTATACGTACCTCACTCTAGCTCATATATGACTATACTATCATACATCCTATTTGAGCCACAGTCTAACTCCGATAAGACAATGCTCTCATATATCCTATATATGCCTCACTCTGTCTCAGATACGACTATACTCTCATACATCCTGCTTGAGCCACATTCTATCTCAGACACGACTATACTCTCATATCATATATCCTATATGGGCCACACTCTAACTCATACATGACTATACTCACATATTTCTTGTATGTGCCTCACTCTAATCTAGAGCTAAATATATGCAACACGTGAGGTCCCAGGCACCCAGCAACTTACATACAAATGACCGACAACAATTCAGACAGTTATAATATCCACGGTCTGATAGTCGCCTCATAGTTATAGTGAGTACATGATCGACTGCTGTCGGGGTATAACATTTACCCACACAAGCGCGTACAGTTGCTTGTGTGTCGATTTCATGCTTTGTATGCGCAGATGTGCGTGGCCACGTGCCCGAGCTCCCACAACAGAAATAGGACAGCTGCACCCCACCACACACCTATATAGTGTACTAGAAAACACACACGTCACAACCAACTTCACACACACACTTACCAACTCAACTCCAAACACACGTCTATACAGTGTAATAGCAAACACATACCGTTTTTCTCTGACTTCGTTGACTTCGACCTCGCCGGATCCACCGGTAGTGTGGACATATCCAAAGTGAACGAGAACCCCCCTGAGACCTGTTTCAATAGCCGCAGCATTCGCGCAACCCATTTGCAGTATGTTCTCAAGGACTTAGTACTGCAGGTACGCCGGTCGTTGTAATACGAACCAGCAAAATCTTGCAGAAGTCCCGTGACTCGAGCGTCATCCCCCACCCAGCCTGTACCATTACAATTTGTATGGGCGTACTCGCGGAAGTGTAGGTAGATGCGGTTGCCGGGGGTTGTCTCCGGCACTGTAGTGAATATATTGAGCAAAGTATGATGAGATGAGTAGCTGAACAACTAAGGTAATCGTGTAGCTGGATTGCATCTTGGCTCTCTCTCTCTCTCTCTCACACTATATGTATATATATATATATATATTTAAAGATACACAAAAGTATACATAAACATGTATATAAACGCAGATATATATCTAATTTAGCATACATTCGTTGTTATAAAAAGTAGGTATATGCATATATTATAGATATACATAGATGTAGATAAATGTGTAGATATAGCTACACATATATACAATATATGTATATCTGCATACACGTACATGCGTACATACATATATACGTAGGTTGCGCAACTATACACACATACAGACAAGACACACACAAATATTTTTTCAACATAGATATAGAGTTATAAAGATATATATATATATTTATATTCGTATACGATAGATACACATAAATATAAACAAATATATATGTAGA